TGAAAACTTACAAATGTGTACAATGTGTACAATGTGCACTGTTCAGGTGTTGCCTTTGTGCTAGAGAGTAAATGTCATGAATACTGTACATTTGACATTAAACATAATCCAAGTTGAAGTGTTGCATCATTTTCAGCATCTGCATTTGGTAGCAGGCCAAACTGACAAAGACCTGCAGAATAATGTAGTATTTTAATTATTAGTATTATAATTGTATTTTAATTCCACAGCAGAAAAAGCTATGTAGTCTCTGTAAGTAGGTCTAGGGGGGAAATAATCGGTATTGGTATCGGTAATTGGCCAAATAAGTTTTAACATACTGGAATATCGGATATTGGCCAAAAATCCAATATTGTGCATCTCTAATATTTATATATTTAAAAAATGTAAGTCTGAATGTCCTTGTCAGCTAAACAATGATGCAAAGTGCAAGTTGACAACCCAAGTAATAAAAGGAAGAAAAAGTAGACGACGTGTTGATTTTGTTCATTTCTGATCAAGTTGAAACCATTTGTTTACAAACCCTGTAGTAAAAGACACAACCCCTTATTTCTGACTTGGAATCAAGATAAATTTTCCTGATTTCGGTCAGTTAGAATTCCAACTATTATTTTTAATCATTGTATTTTTTATTTTTTTATTATTTGGTGAATCTGATAATTGAGAGAGAAGTTTTTAGAGAACCTTTTATTACTTTAAACTCACAAGTTTACATATATTAAGATTCCTATGTCTTAAAACAGTTTGGGAACGCCCAGATGATGTCATAGCATTAGACGCTTCTGATTGGTTAGATAACATTTAAGTTAATTGGATAGATTAAACACCTGTGGACGCATTTTAAGGTGCACCTCAAACACACTGCTCGTGTGTGTGACGACATTAAAAAAAAATAAAGAAATAAAGAAATCAGCCAAGACTTCAGGAAGGGAACTGTCGATCTACACAACTCTGCTTCATCCTTTGGTACAATTTTCAGATGCCTGAAGGTGCCACGTTCAACTGTTCAAACATATAAAAGTTTAAACACCACGGGAATGTTCTGCTATTGTACCGCTCAGAAAGTAGACTGGTTCCGTTTTGATAGTGTGAAAAGTGCATATGAAGTCCAAAACAAAAGCAGAACACGATGTGAAGACGATGGCTGAAGCTGGTCCGTGTCACCATCCACAGTGAAATCTCTTTTACTGACCTGGGCTGAAAGGCCCATCAGAGAGAAAGAAGCAATTACTCTCAAAGCAACAGGATTTAAGTTAGCAAACGCACACGGGGACACAGACCTTGTTTATTGGAGACATGTCCTATGGTCTGATAAAAACTAAAAATTTTACTGTGTGAATATGACCATTTAGAGACGACATGGGGAAGCTTGCACCATCCTGACTGTGAAGTACAGGGGTGGCAGCATCATGTTGAGGGGGGGGGGGGTGTTAATGCAAGAGGGACTGGGGCACTTCAGAAAAAAAGATGGCATCGTGAGGGAAAAAGCAATACATGGAAATATTGAAGCAACACCTCAAGACACTAACCAGGAAGTTAAAACTTGTGCACAAACAGGTCTTCAAATGGACTAAACGTACTCTTAAATTAAATACCAAGTGGTTTAAGGAGAACAAAGTCAATGTTTTGGAGTGACCCTCACAAAGTCCTGATCTTTTCAATCTAGAAAAATGGTGGGCAGAACTAAAAACCTGACTGAGTTCCACCAGTTCTGTGAGGAGGAGCAAAACAAAGTCACAGCAAGCTGTTGTGAGAAGCAGCCGGGGCTATTGTGGAGGGAAACGCAAAATGTTGCGTTCAAGTCATACGGTTTAAAGGCAATGCTACAAAACAATAGGAAAGTGTATATAAACTTGTGAATTTGAAGAAAGTTGAAAAATAACAGCTCTCAAACAAGACCTTTCCTTATTTAGGCATTTAGCACATTAAAAAACATGTTTAGGGCATCCTAACTGACCTAAAACAGGAACGGTTTAATCTGACTTGATGTCAGACGTTTTACTGATGTTTACTGACGTAAACATCTGGTTTCAAATATACATAGCTGATATGAAAAATAGCCAACACACCTGAGAAACGTAAAAAAAAAAAAAAAAGATTTTAGCTTTTATAAAATGTAACAAGGAAGGAGTGTAAAAATATTGGTTTCTCCAACATCTTAATCCAGACCTATAAATAACTAAAATCAAATTCCCCACTTTTAAAACCTGAGCACACGACATCGTGCACCTTATTGTTTAACATACTGTAGCTGCTTAAAAAAAAATGATTGTGAGAGAAGAACCTCGTTGTAATCCAGAGAGGAGTCATTGCACATTGAGCACACAGTGGCCAACTCCAGAAGTCCATCAAAGTCTCCACACTGGATGGGCTTGGGACCTTTCAGTCTGGAAAAAAGAAAAAGAAAAAGCGCACACAAAGTTAAACCGGTGTCGACGGGAAAAACTCTCCATCTCACACACAGTGACCTGGAGCAAACTTTTGCTTTTGGTTGTTGAGCTCTGCAGCGCTGGTTGTACAGTAGTAAACAGAGATCAGCTGCACGTGAAGGGTTTCTAACAAGTAGTTCTGACTGCATGACAACCACGGATCTGTTCCCTGAAGAGACTGTTGCTAGCAAAGCTCCCACACAGAAACCCACACTATGCTGTTATGAAACTGACAGGGACACGCAGAGTCAGAACGCTGTACTCACTGAAACAGTAAACAACACACACACACACACAACCCACTGAAATCCTCCTACTGTTTAATGGACAGCCACCTACTTGGACTCCTCCACAAACATACAAATCAAAGATAAAAAACAAGACTAAAACAGTAAAAAAAAAATAAAAAAAAAAAGAAGTTAAAGCCTATTGTTGTTCATTTCAAATCTAACGGTGCATCAATGTCCCCCCATCACTGAGGGATATGAATAGTGAATGTTTGTAGTTTTTGAGATGAGTTTTCTTCTGGACTGGAAATGAACGGGAAATGCAAATAAATCTTAAAGTGCCTGTGACAACAATCTTTTGTAATAAATAATACATTTTTGGAAAGATAACATTGACAACACTGCAAAAAACGAATTAATGCCGTTGAGATAAACAGTTGTTGAGGAATCTGTATGTACGTTACCAGGGAGTGATGACAAAGAGCATTTTTCATTAATTCATTCAATCTTTATTTAGACGGGTAAATCCCACTGAGCCACGAGGACTCATTTACAAGAGAGACCTGATTTCAACAAAGAATGATGACAACAATGGACAACAGCGACAACAATAAACAGTTATAAAAAGTCATACTACAGTTTTTTTTTTTTTTTTTACAAATAGGATGGCAAAAAAAGTAACAAAAAACAGCTAGATTATAAGGTGAATGTAGAAAACTAAAAACAGGAACATGTCTGCATTGGTCCCTGCCAGGAGTCCAAAAGATTCTTAAAGCCACTTAGAGAGGTCAAGGTCGAGAGCTTCAGATCTTTTTGTAAGATATTCCAGAAAACAGGAGCGGAGTAGGAGAAGGCGCTTTTGCCAAGTTCAGTCCGCGCTGAGGGAACACTGCAGGTAATAATGTCCTGAGAGTGCACGCTGTAGCTGCACTCACGCAGAAACATATAGGAGGAGATGTATGAAGGCAGCAGACCAAGAAGTGATTTAAAGATGAAAATGTACCAGTGAGAGAGTCTGCGTGAAGTTAATGATGACCAGTTAACCAGTGAATACTGGGTGCAGTGGTGGGTACGATAATCACAGCCAGTTATGAATCTTAGTGCACCATGATAGACAGCATCCAACATCTGCAGTGTGCTTGTAGGAGCGTTCATATAAATAATGTCACTGTAATCAATGGAGGGAAGGAAAGTCACAGATACAAGGTGTTTCCTAGTATTCAAAGTTAGACAGGATCTGTTTCGGAAAAAGAAACCCAGTTTAACTTTCAGTTTCTTCACTAGGTTTTCCACATAGAGCTTGAAAGAGAGATGCGAGTTGACCAAGATACCCAAATATTTATAGGAATCTACAACCTCAATGGGGACACCATTTGAGGATAAAATCAGAGGAAGAACTGCTGGGACAGACTTCCTGTTTGAAAAAAGCATCCCTTTGGTCTTGTCTGCATTTAGGACAAGTTTGAGGCGGAACAAATCTGTCTGGATGTTGTTGAATGCAGATTTCAAAAGCTGGAAAGCCTTAGCAACTGTTTTAGCTCGACAATAAACAACTGTGTCATCAGCATAGAAATGTATGGATGCATCAGGGATGTTTTTACCTACATTATGTATGTAGATTGTAAAGAGGGTGGGTCCTAAGACTGAGCCTTGTGGTACACCATTGTTGACTGTTAAATAACTGGAGGAAGTACCATTATGTTGAACACATGAAGTTGTCCCTGGCCCGGTTCTGCTCCAGTCCGGTTCCGGCAGCGCTTCAAAGCATCAGAGCATCTCTTCCAGGCGAACACAGCGATTCCCACGGAGGTGGACAGTCCTTCGTTAAAAGTAATGGGCTGCTCACTGAAGCTGAGACCGGCTCTATTAAAGGCAAAGTCCCCCACAGCCAACTCGGTTTGGTTCTGGTCCAGTTCGGGGGGACACAGGTACACTTCCCCCACACCAATGAAGACACCACAAGGGCCAGTCCAGCAGAAAACCAGCAAAAAAGCCAGCAAAATACCACCCAGCGATTCTTGTCGGAACCAGGTAGAACCACAAAGGTCCAGATGAGAAGTTCGTTGGAGTCTGGAGAGAGAAAAAAAAACACTGGACCTTTGTTTGACGACTCCCCAGCTCGAGGGGTCACCTGGCTGGCAGGGTGCACTCAAGAGTGACCGGTGGGGTGGGAGCGACTGGTCCTGGACCGAAGGAATGTTTTGGGATGGTCCCGTCCGGCTCTCTGAATCACTGAACACTGAATTCGGTTGGAAGGGGGACCAACTTTAGTCCGGTTCGAAAAACGGGTCAGTTTGATGATAAAAGACAAAGACTACAAAGAAGCCGGGGGGAGCTGCCGTCCATCAGCTTGCCGGAACTGGAAGCATATGAACAGCATTGCTACTAGAGCCCCACCGATGTGTCAATAGGGCTGATACTTTAGACAGATATAGACGTTTGGGGACAAATTGCATCGGTGATAATTGTCCCATTATGCACCAGTATAAACACTGGGTACAAGCTGTGTCCTTAATTGCAAAATGTGTAATTGTACAATGTATCCATCAGAGGGCGCACCACAGCCAAAGCAGCAAGCAATTTCAGCATATTTTGCTGAAAAGAACTGGTAAGTTTATTTTAACTGATCTGTAAAATTAAAAAAGTCAACAATAATAAATTCTCTTCAGTCCTCCAACCTGCTTTTCATAAACTAAGTGCTTCTCAAGTTAGCAAGCTAATGTTTAGATAACCTAGCATAGACTATTGCCTTGTATAACTTTATCCAGAACAATAAATCTAATGTAGAGATAAAATATATCAGCGTTAGTAACGTTACCTTTGTCGTTCTCAGTGAAATGCACTGTTTGTAATATTTACTTCTCTGCAAAAAAAATTAAAATAAATTGTTAAAGACGGGAGCTAGCTGCAGGTCACCGGACCCGGAAACCCGCCTCCAGCCCACGTCGCTCCCCCGGCTCGAAACTCTCTCAGAAGCGGTAACCCACACTATCAATAAATCAAGGAAACGTCAATTAAGTTTTATTAATTACATTAAATCAAGGCAGGAAAAGGTTACAGTTTACAGCGCTGGCCTCTCCGGTCTGTGGCGTGATCACAAACCCAGAAGAGCCCCGATGTCCCGTGTCATTACTTATTTATAGGGCCCTAGGCTCCTCCTTCGCAGAAGGGGAGCTCAACCTGTCAGTGTATGAGGGGATGTGACTAAGTGTGATCTCAATGGATCTTACTTGGACTGACATGTACGGAAATATGAGATGGTGCTTCAAAAGCCTTTCTACGTGATGTAGCAAGCAGAAATAAACTCTATTCCTTGACGGATATTGAATCCCAGGGAGACTCTTTTTAGAGTTGCTGGTCCAGTTTAACCCGGTCAGAACCGGGTCATAATTTCATTATAATCCCGTCTCTGAGCAGATCAAAAACCCCAGGACCAGTCTAGATAAATATCTTAAAGTAAATAAAACTCTGCTGTGGTCATTACTAAGTAGGCCTTCACCATACATGACTGACTGTTTAAATAATGAACAGGGAAGGTGTTTCTTTGTTTAATTTATATTT